TCCGCCAGGAGCATCATCTCATAGCTTTCACTATGTAGTTTTGGTGGTGGTGGTGAGCTAAGATCCACACCATAGCACCATTGTTGGTTTAGATATGACAGATAGGCTGAGGTCCAGAAAGGCACTTACGGCTGGAGATAAAAATATGGGAAGCACCTTTATATTTGGAGGACTTAGTCTGTAGGAGCAGATGAAATCTCTGTAAGCACAAGAACATGAACAGGTGTAGAACAGGGTCTTGAGGAAGAGGAACATATAAATATAAGCAGAAGAAGGAGCCAGAGAAGAAGAACAAAATACTGGAAGAATATGATATCATAAAAGTAAAGTCAACTCTCAAGAATACTGCATCTGTGGCAGGTCACATGAATAAGCTGCTCCAGCCTCAAGAACATGGCTCCTGAGACAAGCCACATGGATGAACTATTTGGTGGAGATGTTTCACGTGGTATTCAACCTCCCAACTGTGTAAATAAATTCACTGCAGCTGTTATAGCTCTGTCCTCCTCCTCTACTTCCTCCCCATGAGGAGAGGGGGCTCCACATAGCCTCACTTTTCTGTAAAAATAAAAACCGTAAAGTTAGAGGCAAAACAAAGCATAAATTATGATATTATATTGTATTCTTTTTTGTGATATAGTAAGTCCCAGACTTGTGGATTTCATTATTATTATATTATTATTATTTTGGTACCGAGAATCAAACTCAGGACCTTGTGTTTGCCAGGCAGGCCCTTGTGCCACTGAGGTATATCTCCGGCAAGTCCCAGACTTGTGAACAAATTCCATTCCAGGAGAATTGTTTGTAAGTCTTATACAGTATACCTGTGAAAGTTTGCACCTCAAATGTTTATAAGTCCAGGGCCTTCACACTGAAGAGTTATATCTTTTTCTTTTCTTTTTTTTGTTAAAATTTTTTTTTAAATTTTGGTTTTTTGAGACAGGGTCTTGCTATGTAGTTCAGGCTGGCCTTGAGCTCCCTGTGTAGTCCAGGTTGGCCTTGAGTTTGTGGCAATCCTCCTGCCTCAGCCTCCTGAGTGCTGGGATTACAGGTGTGAACACCATGCCTGGCTTTAGTTTTTAATTTTGAGACAGGATCTTGCTAAGAAGCTAGATTGCCCAGAGTAGGCTCAAATTTAAGATCCTCCTGCATCAGCCTTCCAGGGTGCTGGGATTACAGATGTGCACCTGGTGGTTGTGGCATGCTCACTTCAAGGCATGAATATTTAAGAGGTATAGAAATATATAAAGATTAGCAAAAAATAGGGCCACTGTAAATTTGATATTTCTTCTTTTTGTGTCAGGTTTAATGAGGTATAATTTACATGTAGAAAATCAATCTTTTGATGTGTAGTTCTCTTTATTTTTTGTTATGTCAGTTTTACTTCTTATTCATTTGTCTTTATTTTGGTAAAGTGTACATAACTTACAATTTTTTATTTAATCTGTTTCAAGTACACATTCCAGTGCCATTAAGTACATTCATAAAGTCACGCAAACATCACCATCCATGTTTAGAACTTTTTCATCACCTTAACCAGTAAGTCTCTACTCTTTACAAAATAATTTCCTTTTCCTGCCCTCACATTAATTCTGAGAAATACATGGATTTGCAACTTCCGTGACTCCCTAAATTTTCTTGGGGTACTATGTAGACCCCCCTCCAACCTCACTGGCCACCAATAATGTGCTTTCTGCCTAGTTGTGGCTTTGGTAGAATGTCATATGAATGGACTCATGGAAACTTGTTGTCTGTAGCCTTTTAAAATTTGTTCCAGTTCACAATTTAATGTTTTAAATCAACTTAATAGATTATCTGTTAAATGCTGTTTGGAGAATGATTCATGTCAAATGCACCTACTCTATGTGATAATTTAAAAATAAACTCAAGTGTTTATGATGGCAACAGCTGTAGTTACCAATTGCACAAAATACATTTTTGAAGCTTCTGTCTGATTGCATTACACGTGCTTGCTTCAGAGCACATATGCTAAAATTGATTATGTTACATAATGAATGAGTATTTAAATGGTAATGCAGACTCATTATAATTTTAAGTTGGAGACAATATGTGCATATTAAAATTTATCTTGACAAGGTAAAAAATAAAGCAATATAAATTGATCTTTAGATTTTTTTCCTGCAAAAGTCGAATCACACTTTCAGAGTCTTCCCTACATATCTCATTAAAGTTTTGTTTATAGACAAAATATTAATAATTCTCCTACAATTCACCTACCCTATAGTTAAAAAATTGCATTGGTTAACTGATACTTTTTCTTGTTTTTAAAGTCACCAATCGATAACTTCCAAAAGAGAAGTAGAATGCAAGAACCTGTTGCACTGTACTGTCAGTAAATGATAGTAGAACTCAGGAAAGTGGGTGCGAGAGTTTGGGACTAGTCCGTGTGGTCCCAGGACTCAGACTGCACGTGTCCTGGAAATTAGGCTGACGATTGAATCTGTCGGCTGCACGGCCTGTGTTTCCCTCTTCCCATCTCTGTTTGAATGCGCCTCCCTTGCCCAGGCTGGCCCGAGTGGTGGCCTTGGTCGGCTCACACTCAGGAGTGCTGGACGGGGTATGCGGGGGGCTCCTTTCTCCTGGCTGAGCAGTAGCACAGCTTCCGAGTCTGTGTACCTGGGCATGGGCCAAGCCAAGAAGGTTCGGGCCTGATCGTCCCAGTCCTGCTACAGTCTCCTCACGAGGCTGTCAGGCAGAGTGTGCATTTATGAGGTGTGCACACATGTGTGTGAGCTTGCACACATGCGTGGCCATAAGTGAACTGGGACCTGGAAGTGAGGGAACACACACATAGCCTGGACACTGGTGTGCTTGTGTGACAGCAGGGTGTGACCAGGAATGATACATGAAGTTAAAAACTGATCGTTTAAGAACATGGCAATAGCAAATAAGATTTTGAAAACTAAGAAAAATGCCTGAGGTTGACATTACTTGCTTTAAAGTTAAAGACCAGTAAATACTAGGCACTAAGAAGTGGAAAATCATATTAGACCACATCTGAAATGTCGGTCCACTGGGTTCTGATTTTCCTTTTATTTTTTATCTTGTGCTGTTTGTCCCTTTCAAATTATTAGGTACATATATTTAATAATTTCCCAGTTTCTTAAATGATATTGTGGAGTGTGCAAAAGTTTGGTCCCTTCAGACTAGCATGTGAGTTATCAAGAATAAAAGTTAACTCTCTCCACAGCAGAGCAGGGCCCAGTGTATGGGAGCCTCAGACAGCTGTGTATTTTTAAAATTTTATTGAAATGAGGCATGGTGGTGCACGTCTGTCATCCCAGCACTTGGGAGGCTGGGTCAGGAGAATCACCACAAGTCCGATGCCAGTCTGGGTTATATAGTGAGTTCAAGACCAGTCTGAACTACATAGTGAGACCCTGTCTGAATAAATAAAATAAAACAAAACAGTAGAAGACCCACATAGTACTGTGACTAAAAAGCAGAGCGAATTAGCATGTTTTAACACACCCTTTAATGAATCTCTACCACCAAGAAGAAATACCAAGCCATTAAGACATGTGAAAATGAAATAAAATCTGAAAATTGACGTTCATCGGATATCAGCCACATTCTCACCAGAATTTAAAGTGGCTGAAATTTCATAATTTTAAAAAACAACTGTAAAAACATAGTTTACATATTAGATATGTTAGCAAATGCATAGGAGAGATAAACAGCAATGGAAATACTTCATTTTAAAGGCAATTTCAAGATTTCTAGATAAATTCAATGCAAATAATTTGTTAACTAAACATACAGAGAATCTAAAAACTAAAACATACAGGTTTTAGTTTTCAACTCGTTTTGGGTTTATAAAAAGCGCTCTAATATGTTGTAAAATGTTGTATGTCTGTTAATGTTTCCCTCCTTTTATCTTTAAAATTAAAAAAAAAAAAAAAAAGCGCTCTAAAACCGCACACACCGCGGTTGGCGCGGTCGCTGTGGACATGCACCAGGCACGGCCGCCTCGCGTGGGCCCTCGAGGCTGCGTGGCCGCGGAGGGAGCGCAGGGACGGGGAGCAGCTTGACCCACCCGCCGCGTCCTCCTGGCTTTTCTCAGAGAAACGTCCACACCTTCTTTGGTGTGGTAGCCACACCCCCATTCACCCCAGCGACTGAGCTGTTCTTGGTGCTGACTCATCCCCCATTCAAATAAATATCGAACAGGTGAGACGTGATCACCAGGACAGTGAGAAACACCCAGAAAACCTGCTCTGCAGCACCTGAGAAGCGGCCAGGTCCCTGGCTCCGGCTGCCTGGCAACACTGCAGACGCTGAGGGTTTTCAGCAAGGCCTACTGCTCCTGTCCCAGGCTTGCATCTTCCCTAAGGACCATGACAGCTACATCACACAAACCTTGTGGGGATAAAGAAACCAGTGCCAAGAAGTATAGGGAACGTACGTAGCCTTTTGAATCTGACTTCTTTCACTTAGCCAAATATATGTCTATTGAGATGGTCATGTGGTTTTTGTCCTGGCTTCTATGTATGTGATGAATTACGCTTATTGACTTGCATATGTTGGACCTTCCTTTCAGCTCTGGGATGAAGCGTAATTGTCATGATAGATGGTCTTTGATGATTACTGCATTGTTTGCTGGTATCTTGAAGATTTTTTTGTATCTGTGTTCTTTAGAAAGATTGGCCTATACTTCTCTTTTTTAGTTAGATCCTTGTCTGCTTTTGGGAGCATGATAATGTTAGCTTCTGGGAATGGTTTTGGAAGTATTTCTTCCCGCTCGATTCCATTAAAGAGTCTGAGGAGTACAGCTTTTGTTTTGTTACTCATCATTGATTTGGCTATCTGGGTCTTTTCTGATTTCATATGAATTTTGTTTTTTCCAGTTTTATAAATAACACTTTTAAAATATTTTGAAACCCCTCAACTCTTAATTATGTGTAATTTTCCCCTCAGGATTCTATTTTGAATCATCTGGAAATGAAATAACAATGGTGGAATGAATGAGGAAGCAGTGATAGAACTTGATAAGAAAAACGTTTATTTGAAGAAATCTTTGGAGATACAAAAACACTTTTTTTCCCCTATGAAAGCAGGGGCTCCAGAAAAGAAGGAATTTCTCATCTGTGTGGCTCTCAAGCATTCCCAGGGTCTGTGATAATGGAAAGAAAAGAAAATTTAAAGTTGATGTGGGTTTCCATCAGCAGAGAACATTCCTTCCCTTAAATCTGGGTCACAGAGGGCCCAAGGAAACCTGACTAGTGTAGTGGAAAATGAAATCTATTACAGATAAGTACCCAATAAATAGCCTTATGAACTCCCTGAGGTTTGCTAGTCTTCGGTGCTCTCCAGTACATGCGTTTTTCCATGCTAATATGATAACTCCAAAGAGTGTTTCAACAGAATTTTATGAAGGAGGAGATTTGGGAGAGAAACCAGAGAAATCCTGTCTGCACTTTGAGGGAGTATGAATTGCTCACCTTTGCTGCAAGGAGCATGGTACTCAGCAACTGCAAATTCATCTGAAAAACAGACAAATCAAAACTCATTATATGAAGTCCATGAAGGGATCTTTCATGTGGGAAGAACTGCGCTGTATTCGAAAGGTAAGCATCATTCACTCTATGCATTAACTGCTGCCTTCTACTGTTTTATCAAGTACAGAATCTTATATTTCCTTTTTCCCCCAAACTCCTGAAAAACAGTTCAGATCCCCAACTTGCTTAAATCTCATGTTATTCTACAGCTGGCTTTTTTGAACAAAAGGGATCAAAATATCCTACAGTTTCCTGTTTTGGCAGTTGAGACATATAGGTAGTTTCTACCATGTAGGCACAGAAGACAAAAAGTAGGCAATTAAACTTAATGTAGTCAAAATAAAGCGACAAAAGAATGTAGTGCAGTAAATCATCCAACATACCCCTCACCTCAGAACCTAATTTCTCTCTGAGAGTCGCTCTCACTCACCTGTCTCGTAGTAATCGTAGACCTTTACTGTCGCTGGCTTCAGGTCTCTTACTTCTATGTCTTGCACAACGAAGAAGGATACACTCAGGGTCTGATTTGACACCTAAAAAGCAAAAGGGAGTTGAATGACTTTCTCTGGAACTTTGCTTTCTCTTTGAATAGATGAATAATGGGTATTTGTCTGTTTTTTGGGAGAACAAACTTCAGCAAATAACAGCACCATATAGGGTTCTTACACTGTGTAGAAAGCTTTAGAGTAGAAAAGAAATTCTATAAATTATTTCTTAAATAATTATGATGGCTCATATAACTTCATCATTGCCAAGAGTTGGCACTGTTCATAGAGAAAATTTACATTTTTTTGATGAATAACTAAATATGCAGAGATTTGGCACAATTTTGCCTTTCCATCCTGTAGAAGTACTTTAGAGTTGAAGAAGTGTATAAAAGGCTGATTACTGAGGCTTTAAGTTTCATAAAACTTTAAGTCTGTCATGTCTGTCAATGTAGGCATGAATAAACTCTGCTATTGGGCAGTTTATCTATGAAATCATATTGCTTTATTGGTGGACTATTTTAGTATTTTATGGTCCCAATCCTTGCTGAGACTGAAACTATTTTCCTCTGTTATATTGCTGATGGGGAAGTTTATTAATTAATAATCACAACGGTTACTTCCCCACATTATTTGGTATCTTCAAAATGATGGAGAGTGTAAAGAAAATGCGTTGTGTACAATTTCTTGCTTATAGAATCTTAGAAATAGTCCTATTCCAGTATTATAAGAAGTCATTTATACTCATAATATTAGGTGAAATGTAATTAAAGGAGTGGAGAACATTCACTGGCAGTAGTATAAGAATGCTCAGATTTCTAGCATGGAGGAGATATTCCTCAAATCATCTGCTTTTATTTTTTTGCAGCCACAGTGGCAGGGCTCACCTTATCCAGGTAAATTAGAACGTGGTTGTTGCTGACTTCAGTTCGGCTTACATGCTCAGACATTTCAAGCTGAAGGCAAATGAGACAAAAGTTAATAAACAGATGAAACCCAGAGGATCCAGAGAGGGAAAAGTTTTCTTATTACCAAAGTAAGCTTGAGATGTATGTGCATCTATGTTCATAGCAGCACAATTTGTAATTGCTAAAATGTGGAAGCCACCCAAATGTCCATCCACTGAGGATTGGATAAGAAAATTGTGGTCCTTTTATATAATGGAATATTACTCAGCTGTAAAGAAAGATAAACTCGAGGCTTTTATAGGTAAATGGTCACAACTAGAGACCATACTCATAAGTGAAA